TTAGGGTTTTTTTTTTTTTTTTTTTTTTTTTTGTCATTTCTCTATTGAATTCCAGTGTTCTCTCTTAAATGATCTATTAGATGTGTGATTATTTACTTGTAATTTTGATTCTTCTTTGTGGAGAAGGAGAGTACCAGATGGCTCTAGTCAGCCATCTTGAGGCCCCTCCAGCAATTTTTATTCTTTGCCTTGGAAATGTAATTTAACAACTTTGAAAGATTATTTGGCAATGCTTCCTAAAGCTATATCTATACATATCCTACAGCCTAGCAATTCTATTTCAGTTATATTCCAAAAAGATTTATTCAGCTATTTGCCAAAAGACATATGAAATGATGGTCATATCAGCACATGTTGTTGCTCACTGAAGACTTCTCACATGTTAACCAGCAGTTGAACTGATACATATTTTGAAGCATTAATAAGTTGAAATATTTATAAAATGTTGATTAAATAACTACATGGACATAGATGAATACATAGAAATCTTAGAAATATAATATTAAATAAAAGAAGTCTGGCATAGAATACCTACTGTATCAATCCATTTATTCAAATTAATAATAAAAAACAACATAACCAATCTATGGTATTAATAATCAAGATAGAGTTTATACATCAGTGAAGCAGTAACTGAAAGAGAGAAAAATAAAGACTTCTCTAGTGCTATTGATTTTCTGTTACTTTGTTTGGGTAACACATTATACAGATTTGTTTACTTTGAGGAAAAATATTCTTTTTGTATCAGCTCTTATGCTAACTTTCATTTTGGGTTCGTGGGTCCTTGTGCACCGTAGGTTTGTTGTACAGGTAAACTGCAGGTCATGGAGGTTTGGTGTACACATTGTTTTGTCACCCAGGTAAAAAGCATAGTACCTGATAGGTAGTTGTTTTTCAGTTGTACACATAAAATTTTTGAACATTTTATATAAAATATACTTTGATAAGATTTTACCAAAAGTGTATTTTGCCAGGTCTGCAGCATAATACTCCAGTTGTCTGGGCTTAAGTGTTTTTTTTTTTTTTTTTAGAGTGGTATTTTGTCTGGAATAAAGAATTATCTTGGTAGTTTCATTGCCTCGCAATAGTAACTATGTGTGGATGGTAGTGTCATTACTCAATACTGTACTCATTTGAGTGCTGGTGTGTGGATGGTAGTGTCATTACTCAATACTGTATTCATTTGAGTGCTGGTAAAATCCCTTTTGAGTTACTTCAGGTGGAGAACAACTTAGCATACCACTTTCTATCGTATTTAGAATGTCTAATTGGTGTGACGGATCAGTCATAAGTCCCTTGAGCTAATCATTATTTTAAACTTTATTAAGGTATAATTGAGATACAACAAAATGGACTTATTTAAAGTGTACAATTTGATGACAAGTTTTGAGCAGATGTGTATACTTATGAAACTATCACAATCAAGATAATGAAAATTTTATTGCTGAAAAAAGCTCCTTAGTGATTCTTTATAATTTCTTTCTCCTTATCCCCTGTCCACAGGCAACCGTTTACCTTCTTTCTGTTAGATTAATTAGTTTGCCTTTTCTAGAATTTTATGTAAATAAAATACATATTTTTTCTGGCTTCTTTGACACTTTATTATTATTTTCAGATGTATTTTTGTTATTGTGTACATTAATAGTTAATTTTAATTTATTGCCAACCCCTATGCAATTGTGCGAATATGCTACAATTTTTTAAACCATTCATTTCTTGATAAATATTAGGTTTGAGGCTACTATAAAGCTTCTATGAATCTCCGTATATAAATCCTCGGTGAACACCTGCTTTTTAAATTTATTTTTTATAAATACCTAGAATTCTATTTGTTGGGTCATAGGATATATACATGTGTGTTTGTGTGTGTGTGTGTGTGTGTTTGTGTGTGTGTGTGTGTGTTTGTGTGTGTATATAACATTTTAAAGCCCAAAGTTTTTAAGGACTTTGGGAAGCTGAGGTGGGCAGATCACCTGACAAGACTAGTCTGGCCAACATGGTGAAAACCCATCTCTACTAAAAATACAAAAACTAGCTGGATGTGGTGGTGTGTGCCTGTAGGCCCAGCTACTCAGGAGGCTGAGGCAGGAGAATTGCGTCAACTCAAAAAGCAGAGGTTACAGTGAGCCAAGACCATGCCACTGCAATTCACAGCCTGGGCAACAGAGTGAGACTCAGTCTCCAAAAACAAAGAAAAAAAAGTTTTAATGCAACTTAAGTACTAATATATAGTCTTTTATAAATAATTCATTGATTATACCAGAGTGGTTCTATGCTACTAAGAACTATCATAGCTGCAATGGGACTGATGAGCTAACACTTCAGGATGTGGGTTACAGGAACCCTGATCAAAGATATCAGACACAATTCCTGTTTCATCCATGGCAGAGTTAGCTTCCATAATCATGTAATCACAGGGAAGAAAATAACCAGTGAAACTCCATGGACTTCACTTTATACTTCATTTATATAAATTTTGAACTAGTAGATGCAGATTACATAGGATTAACTATCTGAAAGGACCTTAGGACTTCAATAAGGTCAGGGCAAGATACAATAGAAGAAAGAAACAGATACAGCATGCAAACACAGACAAATAAAAAACTTGCAGGTACGACTCCTGGGATACGTTCTCAGTTCCACAGAGTAAGCTTTATCTTTGTTGTGAGCCACCAAAAAATGTGCAAATATGCCTTTTTCTCAGCTAACCCAAATCACCAATTTACTGAGGGTCTAGGGTCTTTTAAAGTTTACTAGTTGCGTAACAGAAATTATGTCCTCCATAATGTAAGTGGGTCTCATCAAATCAGTTGAAGGCCTGAATAGAAAAAATGTTGAAGGTCTTTCTCAAGCAGGAGGGAATTCTTCTGGTTGCTAAATATGTCTTTTACATTTATGCATTTCAGAATTGGAAAAATAACTACTGGATTAGTTCAGGAACCTGGTGGACCCACTGTGAGGCAAATTTGAACTAAAAGTTCACTGATCACCTGTCCTCCATAAACCTCTACTCTCACTATATGGATTTCCTCAACAAATTTTTAAAACATTGCTTTTCCTTTCTTTTAAAACACTTTTTCAATTTTATATTTGTATAAATTTATAGGGTACAAGTATAACTTTGTTACATGGATAAATTGCCCAGTGGTAGAGTCAGGAATTTTAAGATATCCACCACCCTAATAATTGATTATAGCAGAGGTGTTCTATGCTGCCAAGAATGATTATAGCTGCAATAGGACTGATGAGCCATTGTATCCATTAAGTGATTCTCATCTTCCACCTCCCCACTCTTCTGAGTTTCCATTGTTTATCATTCCAACTGTAAGATGTGTATACATTGTTTTGCTCCCATTTATAACTGAGAACACGAGTAGACATTTTTCAGAAGAAATGGGCAAAAGTCATATAAAAAATTGAATGTCATGAATCATTAGAGAAATGCAATTTAGGAACCAAAAATGTGATATCATCTTACAGCAGTCAGAATGACTATTACTAGAAAGATTAAAAAAAAATAACATGTCAGCAAGAATGCAGAAAAAAGGGAATGCTTATACACTATTGGTAGAAATGTAAATTAGTAGTACCTCTATGGAAAAACCATGTGGAGATTTATCAAAGAATTTTAAAATGTTACTTTTCAAAATACACTACTAAGAAAATTAAAATTGCAAGCCTTAAACTAGGAGAAAATATTTGCAGCACATGTATCAGACAATGGAGTTATAGCCAAACTACACAAAAAACGTTTTCAAGTGAGTAATAAACAGAAAAACATTCCAATTTGAAAAATGGAGATAAAACTTGAATAGATGTTTCATAAAGTTGTATGAATGGCTAGGATGCACATGAAAATGTGCTCAACATCACTAGTTACTAAAACAACGCAAATTGAAACCACAAGGCATCATTACACTCTATTAAGATTAAAAAGGTAAGCCATACCAAATGTTAAAAAAAAATGTAGAGCAACTGGGATTTCCATAGGCTGCTAGTGGAAATACAAAATGGAATAAAGTCTTTGGGAAACAGCCTTGTTTTAAAAGTATTACACACACACACACACACACACACACACACACACACACGTATATATCATATGATCCAACCAATAAAATTCTAGGTATTTATGCAAAATAAATTTGTAAAACAGGTATTCATCAAGGATTTACATATGGAGATTCACAGAAGCTTTATAATACCCTAAACTTAACATTTATCAATGAGTGAATGGTTAAGCAAATTGTGGCATAGTCATACAACTGCATAGGGGTTGGCAACAAAATAAAATTAACTATTAATATACACAATAACAAAAATGAAGGTGAAAAAAATTTCTATTGCCTAGTGGCATTGTAGTCATTGTAATGTAGCACAACACATTGCATGTGTTTATGGTGATGCTGGTGTAAACAAACCTACTGCATTGCCAGTCTAGTATAAAAATCTAGCACACACAGTTATGCACAGTATATAATATTTGCTAATGATAATAAATAATTGTTACTGGCATATGCATTTGCTATACTAAAAAAATGCATCTGAAAATAATAATGTGTCAAAGATGCCAGAAAAAAAGTATGTATTTTATTTACATAAAATTCTAGAAAAGTCAAACTAATTATCTAAAAGTTAGAAAGAAGGTCAATGGTTGCCTGTGGACAGGTGATAGAGAGGGGGAAATTATAAAGAATCACTAAGGAGCTTTTTACAGGTGTGAGCCACCAAGCCTCAAGTTGTATTAAAACTTTATCCCTGTAATGTAATTTTTATGTTTATTACAAAAATAAATGTACCTGTTTATGTAACAATACATTTTCACTTAGTCTAGGGACGAATATTTGCTGTTAATTTATCTCCAATTCGATACTGCATATAAGAAAGTATTTTCTGTTTAACATCAAACTATGTAAAGCATTTACTCCATTGGAACTTGATGACAATTAAATTTCCCTTTTTTAAGACTGCAAAGGAAAAATTTGAAGGCTATCATCAGATCAAGTGTTCAAAGTCAAACTTCCTTTAAAAAAAATCACTGTGACTTGATCTCGGATCTGCTTGGTTCTTATCCCATAAATAAGGGGGTTAAGAGCAGGGGGGATAATCACATATAAATTAGCCAGGAGGATATGGGTAGAACGTGGAATATTGTGGCCAAATCGATGAGTCATAAAGGAGAAAAAGGCTGGAGTGAAGAAAGCTAATATTACACACACATGGGAGCCACAGGTATTGAGAGCTTTGAACCTGGCCTCCCAGGATGGAAGTTTAAAGACATCATGGAGAATCTTTACATAGGAGAGAGCAAGCAAAATTACATCCAAAAGTATCATAGAGATAAGGATCAACCCAAATAATATATTGACCTTTATGCTGACACAGGCCAGGCGGGCAATGCCCATGTGCTCACAGTAGGTGTGAGGTATAATATTATGTCCACAGAATGAAAGCCTTAAAAGGAGAAATATAAGTGGAAAAATCAAAACAAAATTTTTCATTATTCCTACTCCAGCAATAATACAAATTACTCTGTTGGTGAGGATTGCGTTGTATCGAAGAGGGTGGCAAATGGCAACATAGCGATCAAAAGCCATGGCTACAAGCATGAATGTTTCAATGCCTGTAAAGAGATGTATGAAGAACATTTGCACTAAACAGTCCCCAAAGGCAATCTTGTTGAAGCCAAACCAGAATATGCCCAGCATTTTAGGAATGCTGGCAGTAGACAGGCCCAAATCAGTCAGAGCCAACATGGCCAACAAGTAGAACATGGGCTGATGGAGGTTGCACTCCATCTGGATCACAGTTAGGATGATGGCATTCCCTAGGAGGGCAACCAGATACACTATACAAAACGGGAAACCAAGCCAGAAATGTATATTTTCCAGTCCTGGGATTCCCAACAGCAGGAAGGATGAGGGGTGAATACACGAGCTATTGGCTGAAGACATACTGGCAAGGGCTTCTGATGGTCAAACTCATTCAAAGGAATTTCAGTTCTGCATAAGAATTCCCAGTGCCTCATCAATACTGGAATGCTGAATAGAAACAAAAAAAAATGTAATTAGTACATTTTATCTTGGTGCACAGAAGAAAAATCATGTTTTCCCTCTTATGTATCTTTCCATCTTTTCTCATTAATATGTAGGACAAATAAAGAAGAATATTCTTTTGTTCGTTTTTTTTTTGAGACGAAGTCTCACTCTGTTGTTCAACCATCAGGAGAATATTCTTTAAGAAGTGAGTAGGTGTTTGGATGCTGGACTAGATAGTCTAAATTTTAGTAAGAACATAAACATAATTGATCTTAGAAACATCATTGTTTTAGAGACTGACACAGGTTTAAAGCACTGACTGAACTCCTCAGGCTCCCCATTTAGTTCCCCTATTCCTCACAGCAACAACATGGGCTCACTTCATTTCCAAATAACTCATATCATATCCAACTTTATTCCCAAAAGGGGAGTCATGGACATATTATCATTTTATTATGATTACCATCATCATTGGTATTATAAGAAATAGGACAATTATAAAAATGATTGGCGTCATCTAAGCATTTAATATTTAATTTACAAGGAAATTTCAAACATATTACATCGCTTTTACTCACATCAGCTGCATGAGGAAAACAGCATCGATCCCATTCCCTGAATAAATGGATTTCTTTATTTTGTGTCTGCATTGCTTGTGCCTGCCTCCACACTCAAATTGAAGGTGCTCTGTCACAGAAACCCCACTCTCTGACTTCTTGGTATTGCTAGGACTCTTTCCAAATGTATTTATTCCTTGGATTTTGTTTAGGCTCAAGCATTTAGCCCTTATTCAGTTTTGTTTTGTTTTGTTTTTAGCTGAATTGCCCATCATGACCAGCCACCCCCAGCTTTCCTCACAATTTACTCCTTAAACTCTGTTATCTCTTGTATATCCTACTAATGTACTTGGTCTAAGTTCACACTTCTAAAGAAGATGTAATGAAAAATGAGTGGATTCTTAATTTTAATCCATGAGGTGTAGTCCCTTGAAGAGAATGAAATAGTGCTAATAAGGAGCATGATGTCTTTCTAGGAGCCAAGAAGTCAGGACCTGGTACAATACCCAATGCACTTGAGATTTTAGAAAATCAAGGTAGAAGATTTTAGAAATAACAGAGGAAATGTTTTGTGATAGAAAGAGAGGAAGATGAAATCTCTAAATACAAAAATGTATCTGGTGTAGGAATTCCAAGACAAGTGAGAGGAAAAGAAAAGAAGAACCAGCATTATCCTTCTATTAATCCTTCAGACATGCGTTTTAATGACCTATTTTTAGAAAGGGTCTCACTGAACTCAGTACTCTGGCTTGTAATATTCCCTTCAAGAAACCTCTTATTCCACCTGGTAGCACTTTATATGACTATTTAATCAATGTCTGAGTCCCCCTTTAATTGTATGCTGCATGTAGAATTGACGGGGGAGGTAGGGAGTGGTTCTGTTCATCATTACTTCCATAGCACAGCATCTGTAATATAGCTGCCACTCAAAATGTTTGTTAATGAAAGACTGGCTAAGCAGACAATTATTAATTTTAACTTCTGGTTAAAAGTCCTCATGTCAGAAGGATCTGGCAGAAATCACGCAATGTATCTGGTAGCTAAGGAGTGAGAAATCAGAAGGCAAACTGTGATGCTCAGAAGAGGATACTATGGGTCAAAAGGGAAGACGATTCTGATCTGAGAAAATTCATCAGTGGGCCTGTGGTATAATAAATATTTTATTTTAGGGTAGACATTCTAAGGAAAATTTAGTCAAAGAAGGTGATCAGAATAATCAATGGAAAATATATATATGATTGATGGACTTAGGTATGACTTATTCTGTTCACGAAAATTTGCCTGTTGTGCTGTTCTATGGCATCAGTGAAATATTAACAAAATGGTTTTCTAGTGGTACATTCTCTAAAATCCAAGTCTTTAAATCTTTCATATTAACTTGTTTTTTGCATAAGTTATTATTTATTCAGTATTATTTAAACAGATAGAGTCGTGAGCGGGACACAAAGAAAATGTCAGAGAATTGCAAAATCTGTAATCAGAGCCTTAAACTTAGGACGAAATTTAGGAGGCCTCTAGGTAGGAGAGAAATAGACAAAGAGAGGTATTAGGAGTGGGATTGCTGCAAAACAGCCTCATTCTGCATACCAGTTACGTAGGGGATCTTCATTTTCACTATGTAGAAGATCTCTATCCCTACATAGCATAAACAACAAAAACTCAAGAACTGTTAAAACTAGAAATATGGGCCGGGCACGGCGGCTCATACCTGTAATCCCAGCACTTCGGGAGGCCGAAGCGGGCAGATCACAAGGTCAAGAGATCGAGATCATTATGGCCAACGTGGTGAAACCCCGCCTCTACTAAAAATACAAAAATTAGCCGGGCGTGGTGGCACTCATCTGTGTTCCCAGCTACTCAGGAGGCTGAGGTGGAAGAATCGCTTGAACCCAGGAGGCGGAGGTTGCAGTGAGTTGAGATTTTGCCACTGCACTACAGCCTGGTGGCAGAGCAAGACTCCGTCTCAAAACAAACAAACCTAGAAATATGTCCTATTAAGTATTCTGCACTGATGAGTAAAGGAAGACTTTTCTCGGACACCAGAATTGTACCTCTACACTATATCAGCAGGCCTAGTTCAAAGAGCATTTGCTTACCTCTCATGAGTCTGCATCTGGGGAAAATTTGGAGACAAGGTAATGTTAAAAATATCTAGATTATATGCTCTCCAAGTGTTTTCCTTGTAAGAACTATATGCCAAATATATATAAACTCAAATAAGATCCACTCTCCTAATCCATACCAAATAGATAGAAGATTAGCTAAATAAATACATTTTCTGATCCTAGAGCGGGAAAGAGGATTTGGATGGGTTCTGCCAATTGTCATCTTTATGAAAAAAGGAAAAGGGACGGCATTTAAAAAATCCTCTTCATATTCAATTATGTGTTTTTTAAATCTATGTCTTATGTATTTAATGTTTAAAAAGTTGATAATATGCAATACTATAAAACAAGAGTGACTATGTAATGTTTACATTTATCCTTATATGCACATGTCAGAGTGGAGGAAATCCATTGCATGTTTTTCAGAAACTACATACAACTATTTGGAATCTGGAGGTGTTAAATTATTACTCTCTTCACCATTAGTGACAATTAAATGAATGTATTTTATTTTATAATCAATAAAATATATTGATTTGGAAAAAAACTGAGATTGCCAATTTTTTTGTATACCAAATACAAAACAATTGTGTAATTACTAGTTTACATGATAAAAATCAGTAAAATTGGGCTTAAAGACAGATCTGAGAAAGGCATAGGGAAGTGGCCAAGGGAGAGAGGAAGATAGAAGACAGGAGATAGAAAAGAGAAGACAGGAAAGAAGAAAAAGATTAAGACAGAGAAATTCAACAATACCTTAACACCAACTTGCTCCTTTGGCTTTTTATTTTTTCCTTTTTGTTTTCCTTATTGTTAAGAAATAGTATACTTATTGTTAAAAGAATGGATAAAACACCAAAATATGCAGAATCAATTGAAATTCTATGTTAGATATAAGCATTTATGCTACTTTGGTTTACCGCCTCCAAATTAATATTTGCATCATATATACATTTAATGAGGGGGTTAAATCAATGCATCCAAGTCTAAACCTTCCCAGTTTATATGGTCAAACACGTATGGCAGCCAGGCCTGAATTCAACTCACTAACCTTAGCTACAGCCAAATTGAAGAAATCTAAAATCCTGACTGATAACTGCTCCAAGTGTATCTTAGCTCCATATCTATGGTTCAAGCACAAAACCTTATTCTAGGATTGAAAATCTCCTCCCTGACCAGGAATAGCTGCTCTTCTGTGGCCCCATGAGATGACAGCATTAAAGACAAAGAATTCATAAATTCTCACTACAGATTTAGGGTAGTAAAAAAAAGCACATGTGCAAAGGAATCATGTGGGACTTTCAAGTTTCTCCCCATAGGTCAACTTGTAAGAAATTCTCATTTTCTATCTATTCACTTTCTGATTACTCTGTTGCTAATAGTCCCGCAAGAATAATACCTGAGCTAACCTACAATTCTCTACTTTGCTGCTCAGGGCTGTCATATTCTCCAATGACCACTTTTCCCCAGTAAATATTATTTATTTTTCTTAGAAGTCAGGTAATAATTGAGCACTTATTTAAGATTATTTGCTTAGATATTTTTTGCATCTATAATTTACTCCCCCAAGAAGCTTATGTGCTGGTTGCATAGATAATGCCAACCATTTATATATATTCAAAAAATTAAGTTTCAAGTTTTATGGTGCTATTTAGAGTTATAGAAATTCCAAGAACCTGTAAGTTTTCTTGGCTTTCTAACTCGATTTTCTTTTGAATGGGTTTGAAAGGTGGCACAATAAAAACTGCAAAGTAAAATAGAAACAAATATTATTTAAGGATGTCATAGACGGACTATATATTGCATCTAGACTGGGTATGTATGGAATCATGGAAGACTGCCTTTCCTCTGAGAAAAAAAGAGCAGTTCTGGCTGCTGTCAACTGTCCTGGCACTCATATCCTGACTAAGATGATCCCCACTGAAACAATTTCACCAAATATGAACATTGGGCAAATTTACACTGTGTCCGAGACAAAGGACTGAAATAAAAACAAGACCATTCCATAATAATGTCTGAGTGGAGATAAAAAGCACAATAGTGCCATTTTTTAAAAAAGAAAGTTGTCCTTCTGGCTAATATGAGTGACTATGTGTATCTTGTCAAATATAGCTTTAGCCCTACTTTTTCCCCCAACTCCTATATAAAATTTATTAAGACATCCAGTAATAGATTTATCTCCTCTTCTTAATACTATCTGTTTCTGAAAAACATCGCCAAAACAAGCTCAAATCAAATATCAAACTCTTTCTTG